GGCGTGGGGATGACCCCGAGTGAGGAGAGCGGTGTGGCTAGCCGTCCAGCACACCTCTCCCTCGTCTATTTGTGCTCACACTGCTGCTGGTACAATTCCCAGACGAGAAGAAACTATGGTGAGAGTTCTTGTTCTCTTTTTTAATATTTAAGAACTTGGACTTGGAATCTAAGCTCAAAACAAAATAAGAACATCTCTGATGACTAAGTTGTATAATCATTTTTCATCTCCTTACAGGAGAGATTTGAGAAATAAGAGAAAAGACTTTTTCACATTTCTGAGTTAGGAAATGAATTATTTTTACCATAAATGTCTGGTCCAGGGATCAAAGCCATCCCTAGCCCCTCTTTTTTCCTCATGTACATGAAATCTCTTTACTGTTCTAGGATAACCGCCTGCAGATGCAGTAGAAATTTATTAAAGCGTAGGTTACAGGAATCCTGCAGAGCAGTACTGTTTTGTTTAAGACAGGAATATCATTTCAGTGATAAGAGTCTAAAATTCTGGGGTTGTTTTCCAGAGTCTGCAAAAAAAAAAAAAACAGCCATTCATGATATTAGATCCCTGCTGCCTATATCTTGGATACTTCTAAATGGCAAAGTTCCTTCTGTTTCCCTGCAAAAACAAAAACAGAAAAAGACAATCTAAAAAAATTCACCTTCTCTGAAACACAAATGCCTCTCCAATGCACCTCTACATGTCTGGGCAAAGAACCCACTTTAAGACGCACTGATCTGGTGTTTAAACAACAGGAACGCAGGAAGAGTACAGCAGGAGGCAACGCAAAGTCTGCAACGTGGGGAGGGCTCTGCGCTTAGGCCCTTATTAGACTGCTGCACCACGGTCACCCAGCTAATTTGTTTTCATGACAACCAAACAATGACCTTCCAATTACCAACAAACGGTGCCTATCTCTGCTCCCAATTCCAAGTTCTTTTTAGGTCTTGGGGAACACATCCAAGCTTTCATTTTAAACAACTTCAGATTCTCTTTATTATAAAAATGTGAACTAGGAAACTATAATTTTGTTTTATGTAACGTAATGTAATGAATTGTCCAAGAGTTCATTTTTTCCTATTAGTTAGGGAATTATTAAATAACTATAAATATCTCATTCATGTCTGACAGCAAGTACAGGAAGCAACTGGGGCAATTAGTAATTTCCATATTAACTTGAAGGCAGCTATTCTTGGCACATTTTAGGTTTAGAGTTTAAATTAAAATGTCAACATAAGCCACATGGTGATGTGTTTTCTTTTCCCTCATTATTAAATCCCACATGATATTTTTGAAAGCTTCATTGGATTCCATGCCAGATCTAGTGTTATTGTCTAGGAGATTGATTATACATCTGAGTAAACCAAGCGTAGGTTCCTCTTCCTGTCATACAAGTCATCAACTTATTTGAATAGCTGTTTAAGAGGGACAACAATCATAGTAAGCACAGAATAAAACAGAAATTCTTAACAGTAATTACAGATTGTGCAAAGAGATTAATCGGGGTAAAGGCATGGGGAAGTGGAGGGTGTGTTTTCATGCCACTTTCGTTTCTTTGCTGGGTGATCCTAAGATCCTGGAGACCCACCTCAAGTATTTAAAGGTCTTCTGGAATGGAAAAACACTAGACTCAGAGAACTGCTCCAAATACGAAACTCACGTCAAAGTGAGCCTTGGACTAGAGCCAGTCACTCGGATCCCCTCCAACCTTTGGAAGATTGTTCATACACTTTAAGAAATAAATAAATTTAGTCACAACTACTTAGAGAAGAGGCAAATTTGAAAAGTACATTTTGTATTTCGGCCTTAACATTAAAGGAAGGAAATGACTTTATAAATACTTCATGTGTATGGGAAATAAAACCTTACGGATAAACTGAGTTTTTATGATTAAACCAGCACTGAAAATGAACATATGCCACTGATTCACTGGTTCTAGGTTGAAATTGAGCTGAGAAAATCTAAGCCACAAGTTCTCAGGCTTCAAGGCTCAGTCTGGGAGCTCCTACAGCTGAAAGCCAGACCACATTTATCTCCTGTAAGATAAAATCCTAATCAAAGACTCATAGGAAACCACCTCCAAAAAAGTGCTCAGATTGAAATACTAATATTAGTTTCATTTTATTATAGGCAGACATCATCTCTCCCTTGTTTCTGAACATAATACATTTTTAAATTTATGTTTGAAGCCACAGAATATCACTGTGATTGTGAAAGTGTTGGCAAAAAAAGTTGCCAACAGCTTTCCAAACTTTTATGTAAGTTGCGATGTGGTATATACTAACCTTGGAGCAGTGAGACAGGCTTTCCAAGTTGATAAGTAAATTGCCTTCTTTAAATTTAAACTGTCACTTCAAACAACCCAAGGCGTATATAAAACATGACTCTATAAATACTGTATATTAACATGTTACATTAAATATGACAATAAGAACTCCAATTAGTTTACATCATTAGTCTCCTTAATGCTTTGAACACTCTGTACCCTAAGTGAATACCACAAAATAAATAATAAAGTCATGAAGTAACCAGTTGAACCATTAAGGAAATATTTAGACGGTTCCTATATTATCAAAAAGAAATCCATTTACAAATAGGAAAGTTGAACACTAAGTCTAATTGTTTTCATTCTATAACTTCCTAAGCATATGAAGAACATTTATATTAACCAAAAACTCAGAGTAAATAAGGCAACAAATTTTAAGTATTGTTAACAACTAAGTATGTTTAGCCTTTTTAAAAACAAAAGCGTCTACAGTTTTTTGGTACAATCATCTATTTTATAAGACCCTCAGATAATCTCCTTTGTAAATGACAGAATTATATCTAACTCATTAAATTCATATTCTTTAGAAATCAAGTTAAAATACTTAACCAATTTTTTTTTAAGTTTTGGGTTTTTGGTTAAAGCAAATGTGCTACTCATGAACAAAAATGCCTACCGTTTGAGGTTAGTAATTCCTTTTCTCTATTTTGCTGCCTTCTGTGTTATCATTCATTTACATAAAAATTTCTACAAGTATCATATTTTATGTGCTATATAAGGTCATAATGCATATCACAGTTAATGATTCTATTTTTTAATTTTTTAAAATTATTTTAATGATTCTTTACTGTCAAGAAACCAGAAAGTCAGGCATCTTTAAAAATGATAGAAAAACCAAATTTGCTTATACAAAAACATGCTTCATCTTCTTTGAGGTGGGCAGAACAGACAGAGGTAGCAACAAGGAGACATAAAGGACTGGGCAGCAAATTCCTGTGTGTGATGTAAGGGCCCTGCTCAAAGATCATCCTCTCTGGTTCATATATGACATTTCCATGACAGTACTTCTTTTAAGCTAAAGCAGGAGATTATTTCTCTATGGTGTGTATGTTATTCTAAAACAATTTCAGTATTAAGTTACAGAAGCCCATTTAAGATAGCTTAAGCAAACTGGTATTTATTGTAAGAATTTTGCCAAACGTCATGAAACCTAACTTGCAAGAAGAACAGGTAAGCCTTATAAAAACTAGAAGGCCCCCCCAGGCTGAAGTAGAGTCTTTTTGTCTGTCTGTCCCTCTTCATAAACATCTTTCATTTCTGCTTTTGGAAAGAAAGACTACCTCATGCCTTTCTCTGATGATTGGTTTCTTTGGCAGGACTTTGAGATTCTCTTCCCCCATCATTTAGCCTGGTATGTAACTCTGATGCTTAGGAGCTGCCTGACCACAGTGCTCTGTCTACAGACCAACTGTACACCTGCCCTAGTGGTCAATGTCACCTAAACCAAAAATCCCAGGACCACAAATATGATTGACCTAGCTTAGACACCCCTGTTCCAATTAGCTGCATCCATGGGACAGGGTTATTCCTCCCAAACTACAGACCGGGAAGGAGAACTGAGACCAAGATGTGGCTTAAGATGTTACAAGGTCCCTTGAATTATAATGTTACACACAGGATAACATTAAACACTGGTACCAACAGGAAAACTAAGAGAGTAAAGCTAAGACAGTTGCATTTTTATTCTTTCCCTATCATTAACTATGCTGCCTTTCAAGGCAATGATGATAACTGAAGAATTCAACTATACATTTAAAGGAGTTCCCATCAGACTGTCAGTGGATTTCTCAAAAGAGACCTTACAGGCAAGAAGGGGCTGGAAAGAAATATTCCCAGTCATGAAATCCAAAGACCTACAACTAATATTGCTCTATCCAGCAAAGCTTTCATTGAGAATGGAAGGGCAGATAAAGTGCTTCTCAGATAAGATCAAATTCAAGGAGTTCATCATCACCAAGCCCTTATTATATGAAATGTTAAAGGGAATTATCTAAGAAAAAGAAGATAAAAAATATGAACAGTGAAAGGACAGCAAACTCACAGTTATTACCAACCACACCTAAAACAAAAGCAAACTAAAAGTACAGCTAGATCAGGAGCAGAAACATAGAAATGAAGATCTCATGGAGGGTTAGCAATAGGGGAGTGGGTGGAGGAGAAGGGGGGAGAAGGTACAGAAAATAAGTAGCATAGACGGTAGGTAGAAAATAGATGGGGGGGCAAGAATAGTATGGGAAATGTAGAATCTAAAGAACTTGAGACACGTGATCATAAACTAAAGCAGGGGAATGGTGGGGGCAGGGGAGTGCAGGGTGGAGGAGAGTGAAGGGGGGAATAGAACAACTGTAACGGCATAATCAATAAAATCAAATAAAATTTTAAAAATTTACTTTAAAAAAAGTGACATTACATGACCCCTTCTTGTGGTGTGGCAGCCAGGACATCTTTCACTGTGTGGCGATTCTCATACCGATCATGATAGCCTTTCATATAAGTAGTGTGGTGGTGCAGGGGGGGCCACATACAGAAACCAGAAATTGTTCTGTGAGGGACAACTAATATAAAAACAGGAATGAGGCAGCTTCAAATTAAAAATAAAGTAAAAAATAATAGTACTTATTTAACTTATAAAAGTGACTTATCTCAGCAAGCATATGCTTTCTATACTTTTCGAAAGTACAGAAAATCATACCAGACCAGAGTGGGAGGGAAGATGCTTAATTCCGAAACAAGAAGACTCCCATGAAGTCAAAAAACAGGACTTTTCAGGACAACTAAATCATCCTTTTTCCTACAGCAAATAGTAAATATATAGCATATGTCACCTTAATAATTATCTCCCTTCCTCTTAAATTTGTAGTTTCTACTTGCTCCCCTCCCCCACGATCCACACCTACACACATTCCTCCCTCAGACTGGCCAAGTCCGACTTTAGAAGAGGAGCCCAGAGTTAATTCTCCTCCCTGGGCCTGCTCTTTTCCACTTTGCAGGTACCGTTCATTCTGTTTTAGTACTTAACACATAACACCCTTCCTCATGTGCATCTTCTATCACGAACTAGGTGGTTATTTCCCCTGAGGACAGAGACTGCATCTTAGTCAGCTTTGTATCCTCAGGGCCCAACACAATGCAAGACACCAGAAAAGTCTAAGTGGCTTTTTTAAAAAAATGAATCACAGACACTAGAAATAAACAAATTCAAGAAAGGCTTGAAGAAATTTATGAAGGGTAGTTTCGGAATGGGTTTTGAGAAGAAAGGCAGGAAAATCCAAGCTGCATCCCTCACCTACGAGGATGAAAGAATGGAAGTCATGCTCTCATGCATAGAAATAGCCGTGGCACCGGTACAAGACAGAATGAATACAAGACCACTGGGCGGGCCACCGTTCTCTCACTGGACTGCCTGACTCTAAACCTTCCAACACAAACTTTCCAAAGGAAAACCTTATCTCCAGCACTGCATAGGGTATTAAACTGTCCTCTCTTACCTCCAAACCCACCCTTCTATTGTATATTCTACTCTATGGCCTGGAACTCTGCAGACATTTCTCCTTTGCCAACTACCTGCCAATAGGCTTTGCCAATAGGGGTTTCTAGAGGGAGACGGGCTGGCAGAAGAGATCATTGTTCTTTGCTTGCTGTCAAAGTCAAGGCACTTCACCATGGCAGTTGGAGTGGTTCTGGTTTCTAGCATTTATCTAACCCGGTTCCATCCCCCAAACAGCCTCATTACATTCTAGAGATGCAACTGGCGACTGGCTAGGGTCTTGCCAGTCCATCCCCGGTGACCTGACCCCCAACTTGCAGGGCCCTTCCTGTGAACTTCTAAACTCGAATTATCACAAGCTCTCCATTTTCCTACCTCCATCAACCTGAGGGTGGTAGCTCTTCTTGCAATCACTATCTCTGTTTCCCCAATCTTCCCCTTCTTGTTTTCTCAGATCTCCAATACATTCTGCCCACTGTGAGACCTACCTCTTACTGCAGCTATGCGAATCCAGACTTTTGCTACCTCCTCCAATGACCCATAACCCTTTCCATGGCCCCTTGACTGTCAAAGGTAAGGAGCCTGAGAATGACCTCGTGATACCACATCTTCACCAGCTGTGCAAATTCCACATCTTCTCTACAATTCTGAGAGAGGATAAGCATCTGATCCAGGGAGTAGGAACAGTTCCAGCTGGCAGAAAAAAAAACCCAAGAAACCACTGACTCTATCAACAGTTAAACAAAATAGGCAGAATTTTAATAATCCATCATAATTCCATGTGATATCAATTTAACAAATACCTTTCTAACAAACAGTTAGAAAGCACTGCTTGGTGATAATGGGTACATAAGAGAAACTTAAAACCTGGACCTGATGATGTGAATTCAGCAAACAAGTCCGAAAAGAGTTTTGGAACCACTGGTTAATAAAGTAATACAAAAATGAAGAAATTATATGTTTGGGCGAGGCTACAAATCCTACACCAGATACAAAGATTGTGCTGATCTTTATAGAGAAGTTAAGAGGAACAAAAATTTGAGCTAATGTGACTTTTGACTCCTGCTTTTTCAACTTCATCATTAAAAAACTTATATGCTATTACGTTGTGGCCAAGACTGCTAGTTCTCCAAATATCCTTTCTCTCCTTCTCGCTCTTTAATTAACCACCTCCTAACCACTGACTTTCAGCTTTGCACACAGCCACTCAGAATAAAGATACATTCTCAACTTCCCTCAGAATGACTATTTTTTGGCCAGTGGAATGAGACTGAAAGTGACATGTACAGAGGGAGGAAGCAAACACCCCCGTTTCCTTCCCACTGCGGAGTGTGGACAAGGTGTCGAAATCTCAGACCACACAAATGAGAGCAACTGTCTAGGAATAACAGAGTAACAATGGAGAAGGGGCGTGGATCCCTGATGATGCCATAGTCTGTAGGAGAAAAAAAAACCCTAACTTTTTAGATGTTTATTATAGAAGTGAAATTTATATTTTAATGATAGAAACCCCAAACATCTAGTTACCACCCCTTAACATTCACACAGAGCCAAAGAGCCCACTGATAATGGAACTATTGGCCTGCCCTTCCCGTGTTTCCCCAGGGAAAGCTGGGGTCGTGGTGAAAATCATCTGTGACCCAGCAGGTACCACACAAAGACTTCCAGAGGCATTGTGCACACACTGAAGGTGGCGTGGAAGCAGTCAAGACAGATGGTGTTAATTTTGTACACAGAAGTTCCTTTGAGCAAAGGAAGAATATCCATGATTACTGCAGGGAGTTTCCAGAAGAAAAGGTGGCACTTTCCCCGTAAACTTTATTAGACTCATATTTTAAGAAGCTTCACTTAATCCTGCCTATGCAGAAAAATGTATCCATGTAACATACAAGATACGGCTTTGGTGTTTTATGTGCCTGCAAAATGTTTATTTGGCTTGGCAGACATGTTTGGACATGAGTTTCCAGTACCCGAAATGCAATTTAAACACTGCATATCTGTCTATTTCTATATGAATATCAACCTAATAGCTACTCGAACCATCTGTCTCACCACCAAAGTCAAGGAACCACTTTGTGGTGATTCTCTGCGACAAGAGAAAAATTCTGAAGTGTCCTAAATTAAATTACAGCAGTCCAGAGAGTGAGAGAAAGAGACAAGATCTATGGACCAATTAACGACAGACTGATCACGTCCCCGGAAGTACTGGTGCCTTGAATCAACTTCAGGCAGCTCATCTAAAACAAGCGGTAGACCAACCACGGGATGCCACCATCCTACCTACGCATGAACCTGCAAAACTGACGCCTGCAACCGATCCAAAGCTGTAAATATTTCTTCCTAATGGACTGTGCTTCTTCTATCCTAGAACTGCTCCCGCTTCACCTTTTCCCACCCTCATGTGTAGTCAGTAGAAATTCTTTCAAAACTACTTACATCTGCCTTCCCAGAACATAGTGTATAAAAGAGTCCATAGACTCCAGGCAGGCAGACATGTTGCCTTCTTCATCTGGCCCTGCTGCTGCTGGTGGGCTACGCTGCGTGACCTTATTCAGGTTAGCATTTGGCTCAATAAAACTCTTCTTTCAGAAAAGCGTTTGGACTGTGAAAATTTTTGTTTAACACCTGTATAAAAGAAATTCCTAAATATAAAAGCATATTCAAGGGGGCAAGATGTAGGAGGCTGCCTAGCAGGGGCTGTTCTAAGAAACCTATTTTAACTGACCAGTAGGAACTTTCTATAATTGTGAAATACCATGTATGAGAATTTGCAACAGAACAGAAATCATTTTTGATGAATAATACAGCCAGATCAGAGACCTGTGTCCCACTGGAAAGCAATAGGGAGTGTGACTATTCATGTCAGTGTTTTGTTAATTGATTACATGAGTTGCTCAACTCTAAGGATTAAGAATGAACTGTAGGTCTCACTCTGGGGGGTCATGACCAAGAGACAATGGGTATTCGTCAACTGAACAAAAGCCACTAGAACTTGAACTGCTCTTCTCTAGGGTAGTAAGACCAGAGGCTAATCAGCAAGGGTCCAAGGGAGTAGTTAATATAGGGCCTGCCTTCAAGCAGCTTAGGGACCAACTGGGGAAGCAGCCAAGTGCTAAGGAGTATTATGGCTATTCATAATCATGCATCATAATGAGGAACCTTTCTGAGTCTGGAAATAATGGTGTGGTCTGAAGTTGTTAAAGAAAGCTTCAGAGAAGAGGAAACTTGGAAGGACATGGAAACGTGAGATTTAAGGGAGCTTGGTGATATGCCAAACAGGAACACAGAGTAATGGCCTCCAGGCAGAATTTGGCAAGCCCGGGCAGCCAGATGCCCGCCCTATCATCTATCCACATCTGTCCACAAAGCACAGCCAGTAACATCACCCAGGTCACTCCCTCACTTCCACTCAGCTCTTAGCAAACTCTTTTCTCGGGGCAACAGAATTCTTTTAAGTCTGAATCAGTGACCAGATTAGTTTGTGAAAGATGGGCTAAAATCTTAAAGTTTATTTTCCGTGGGACTATTCAGAGCTTTAACATACCAATATGCACTGTGAATCCTTGAGGGGTTGATACAGCACTCAACACTTCTCAACCTTATTGGCCCAAGAACCTTTTTTAAAGTAATTCCTGCTATGCATCTTGGTTCACAGAACACAGCTCAAGAAGTGCTATTGGGGTGACGAATCCTGGCTGAGAGAGGGGCTCTGAGGTCGGCCTAGGTTGGAACTCTGATTCCATTACCTACAAGGCCAAATGACCTCACGTGGCGGACCCTGGCCAACAGAGTCCACCTGTTGTGGCTGACGATGAGAATGAATGCACAGGCGACAACAATCCTGTGGAGAAAAAGTGAACGAACGACACAATTACTCCCTCAAGAGGGGAGCGCTCCGACCCTTGCCTAGACAGGCTTTTATTGTTTCCTGGGGTCTTACATCAGAGAAAGATTTATTATCTATCACATAGAATATTACTGTCTACATTCTAGGTACAATCAAGAAAATGAAAATAACATGCAGAGGGGAATGACAATGAGCTGATTAGCTCTGTCCTTGGGAGAACTCACACAGGCTTTGGAAATTACCTTGAAGACAGACAATACACATTTGTTGTTTTAGACCAGGGTGAGGGAGTTTTAGCAAGAGCAAGCCATACAATCTGTATGCATTTTCTAGGCCTGATTCCCACGGGAAAACTTGGTTTAAAGGTCTGGCTCCTGCCCACCACTTCGCTTCTGTAGGTTTTCCATACAGAGCTGAGTCACATTTGCCAGACTTAAACAAACCAGTCCCCTACAACCTCCGACAAGGCATTTAACTTTTCTAAGCTGCAAATTTCCTTATCTGTAAAATTGGCAGAAGATGAAATTGAGACTATAAATATGCCTCGTAGAAGGCACCATAAAAAGTCAATAGAAGTCCCTTCCTAGCATTTGATGCTTACCCATCAAATTTCAGACTAGAATTTGGCTCCCTTCATGGGTAGAAAGAAACAGTGCTGATCTGTTATATTATCCTATACATGTGTGTAAAATAATATGCAAACAAGATGTGTATGTGAATTTAAAGTAAGACTCGTGGACATAGAAAAGAAGTCACCTCATTGTGTAAACAGGTAGAGTCCAACCATGCAGTGACTAAAAGAAAAGGCGTAATTTTCATTTTTATTTTTTAAAATGTTTATAATATGGAGAAAAATATTTGAGAAAATACGAAGTAGTTGAGTTCAATAAGTAGAAAGAAAAATTCTTCACAAGAGTAGGAAAAAATGAATAAATAAAATTCACAGTGTGTTTACTGTGCAGCATAATTAACCCGTGGCAGTGACTTAGATATGTGGATACTTAGTCTCTAGGCAGTGATTCAAAAGCTTGGGAGTGTTCAGGAACCTGGTTAGGATAAGGAAGGCAAAGGATAAGGAAGAGATAGTGAAACAAGAAACAGCCAGGAAAAACTGCTCTTCCGGTGTAGCTCTCCCTTCACATCACTTCTGTTTTTCTCCACCTAAGTGTTGGCTTAGCCAGGAAGCACCCAAAATTAGTTCCAACAGCAACTTTTATAACCATCTTATAAAACTCAGAATCATACTGTGTGTTTTTTAAGAAGCAGGTGGAAAATTATTTTGCAAATGTGCTGTACACAACAATTTAAGATTTTTTTTCCTTAAACCACCCCAATGCTAAAATGGCCAGATATTAAAAGTTTACCAAACAGTATGTATTCTAGGAACAATATATAAATTAAAGTGTCTCTACGGTAAAATAAACAAGGCAATCCACAGAGTTTATGGGTAACTACATATACTTAATGACTACATATACTTAAATTTGGGCAAGTAACACGCCAAACAGATCATGATTATTAGCTTTAAATAAGATGGATAATAGCTGATTTTTAGTTTCTAATTTGCTTTCACTTTTTAATATTTTCTGCAATGAGCATACATTAAATTTAGAAAAACAATATATTTTTAAAGCAAATACACGACAGTGTTATCCTCTTACCTCCTTTTAGATTATTGGTGCAATAAAGAACATAACTTTTAAGGCAAATGCCTAAAAGTCCGGGAAAAAATATGCCACCCCTTTTTACTTATAATTCAAAATAATGAATGCATAACAAGTTTTCATGACTTAATTATTTTCTTTTTTTTAACCCTTCTTGAAATGCTGTACAAATTATCATGCTCACCCAAGAAGGGAAAACGACGTGTAAAACTGCAGGTGAAGGAGCCCGTCCCAGGAGCCCTGCCAGGCTGAGCCTGATGGAAGCACAGGGGCATCGCTAGGAAGTACATCTTGTGTCGACTTTGCGGGCAGGAAAAGGAGGCCTGGAGAAGTGAAGTCACCAGGTGAAGCTCCCTAAAGATATTAACAGTGTTTACACCAGGATTTTAGCCCGTGTCAGAGTCCACGTGTACTTGTACCCTGCAGTCATGTCAGCTTTTATTTTTAATCCACCAGGTTGTCCTTGGGGAGCCGCATATCAC